TAAAGTCCCATTTCCCCTTTGAAAGTAGCTCAACCCTCCATTTGTGGTCCTTTCTAAAGCACGCCAGGGTTTCAGCGCAGCAAGACTCACTGCAATCGTGCTGGTGACACTGGGGCCTGGCACACCTGGACAAAGGCCCAAGGTGGGTGCTGGGATGGGGCAGCTTGGTGAGCTCAGGGAAGCATGCACCATGCAGAACAGCAATTTTCGTGCATCCCTGCTCTGCCCACGACTTCCTGTGTCTTTCCATTTTCCATAGTCACGAAAATTCTGGGATCCAGCACTCAGCCCTGCCAGCCTGGCTCCACCTACTCCCCCCTCAGGCCCTCCTGTCGGTCCTCATAGGACCCTCTGAGTGGGCTTTTGCTCTGGGGTCTTCATGACTCCCCCAACGTGAGGGGAGGATAACACCATTATGTGATAAACACTTTAGAAACAGAATGCGACTTTAAGCTCCACAGCACCATTCTCTCTTGTGCCCTCAGATGTATAATAAAATCATCTTCCCAGGGACTCTTACTGGAGAATCTACCTGCCTACCTACCGTGCCCCATACTTGGCATTTGTGTAGCCTTTAAATGCTGTGTCCTGAACTACTCTGACTTTGAACAAACTGTAATTTCAGAAAAAAAAATCCTTGAGAATGAATAGCCATGTGGCATGGGCAAAGCCACAGGTGCATGTGGAGAGGAGTCTGACCTTTAAATCAGGAGTCTGTGCACACTGCAGGCGGATAAATGCACAGGGACTGGGTTTGCCACCGGCCAAAGACCAGGGCTCCAGAGGTAGTTCATGCTGTTCCTTGTTTTCAGAGTACTAAATCTGGGTGAAGTCACGTGTTTCTTAATAACAGGGATAAATTCTGAGAAATCACCCTGATATAGTTTGGCTGTGTCCCCACCCAAATCTCACCTTGAATTGTAGTTCCCCACGTGTCATGGGAGGGACCTGGTAGGAGGTAATTTGACCCCCATGGTGGCTTCCCACATGCTGTTCTCATGATAGTGAGTTCTCACAAGATCTGACGGTTTTATACGCGGCTTCCCTCTTTTGCTCAGCACTTCTCCTTCCTACCATCATGTGAAGAAGGATGTGTTTGCTTCCCCTTCCACCATTACTGTAAGTTTCCTGAGGCCTCCCCAGCTGTGCAGAACTATGAGTCAATTAAACCCCTTTCCTTATAAACATCCCGGTCTTGGGTATGTCTTTATTAGCAGTGTAAGAACAAACTAATACACACCTTTAGGCAAGTTCATCATTGTGTGAACATCATAGAGTATACTTACACACATTTACGTGATATATACAACTTCATTGATACACCTATCTTTCCATATGGAAAACAGAATGTCCCGGCATCACTACTGAACATCAGTCATTTCCCCTACTTGATCTCAATGCCAATATCAAGTGCCATCCAACAGGTTTCTATATCTACTCCATTATAACGTTATGGGACCACTGTTGGACATGCGGTCTGGCATTGAGTGAAACATCCTTGTGACTGTGTACAGGAATGTCTTCGTAACATCAGTAGGAAGAACTCTCAGGCCTAAAGAACATGGCAAAATTCTGCCTTTGTCGTCTGCAGAAGTAATTGAAATCTGTTTACCTGGATTATATTACATTATGAAAGGAAGAACAAGCTTATTCAACAACTGGGTAAGCATGGGTCTAGACACGGCACTCATAGTGCTGGTTTGCAGTGTGGCTGCTGTCTTGTTTCATTTAAGAGGATTGTTGAAGCTAATTGCCAGATGATGCAGAACATCATCTCAAAGGCACTTTTAGTCTCTGTGGTCTTTTTTCCTAGATAATATGACAAAGAAGGTAAATCTCTTTCTGAAAATAACTCTGAAATATCAGCATCTTTTGCTAAGTCAAACCCTTCATTGATGTAGGAAGCATTTCAATCTTTGGCTCTAAGCATTAGACTCTTAACCTGCATCTAATTCTTAAACTGGCAAAACTGAAAATTGAGAGTATAAAATCAACACCAAAAAATCACTGAAAACTGCACACATGCTATTGTACACATCCCACTTGCTAAAAAGAAAAATGAGAAAGAATCAGGAAGAAATCTTATTGAGAATAATTTTAGAAGACTTTGAGGAAAAAACTGAAATATTTGGATAAATTTCTTCCTTATTCAATGGAATAAGGCATTCTAAGAAAAGAATATTAGATAAGTAGAAAAAGACTCTGCTCTTAAAATTCATAGAAAT